GACACCACAAGTCACCGAGCAGTCGCTCCATTCACTGACCCTCCAGACCAAGCTGGGACACTCTTCCTCCTGGCAGTCCCTCTGGGTGGCAGGTTTCTCCACCCCTTCCTTCTCACACTCCTCGTCTTCCATAAGAGTTCCTGCTTCATCTTGGCAGGTTACCGTTCTCTGCTGGATACCGGTGCCACAGGTCACTGAACACTGTATGAAAGATAAACACACAGAATATTGCTCTTCTTATTTATTTCTGGTAATGAAAGCAAGGATTCCTTAAAGAGCCCACGGCAAGCTTGAAGGATGCTGTAGAAGGAAGGCAGTGAAGATAGATGCAAAAGTGGCAGACAAATCCAGGTATTATGGGCCACATTGCAAATTCTAGCCTGGGTGGGATTGGAACCCTGGGCCACAAGGGTGGAGGTCAGGAAAGTACCACAACACCAGTGTCACTCTTCTGAAAGGTGTGAAGGTGCTAGCTAGCGAGCATACACTATACATCACTACAAAATCATCAATACAGACAACACGACTACTCTTATCATGTACATGTAACAGAAATTCATCTTTCTCCATCTTTCGGCACTGATGACAAAGTAAAGCTAAAAAAAAGTCAGTAAGTAGAGAAAACCTTCTTTAATAAGCTATACATTTAAGAAGAGAAGTTCTGTTTTGCTTTCAGATGAATTACTGTAATGAAATTTGAGTGTTCCTCAGAAAAAATATAGTTTGCTCAACCACATCTATTACATAGTTTTAACTATTTTATTTTTTATTTCAGGAGTTTTTGCGGGGGGGGAATACATGCAAAGATATAAAGGAACAATTTTCCAAAATAGTAACAATTTGTCCTGCTGATCGACAGTCCATTAGAAATGAAAATATCATGCATGATGGCCGCCCATATTGAGATTATCTTGCATATAATCGCAAGGTTCAAAATGGCACAGTGCCAAGTTCAGGTCCAACCCCCAAAAGTAAACTACAAGTTGGTAATGACGGGATCCAGTTACCAGCCTGTCACATAAATCAGTGTTCCTTGCCTTGCAGGAGGACAAACATCTGATTCAAGATTTTGGGTGCGACCCAACCAACAGACACCGCAGGGCAGCTGTGCCAGCCTTTACGGCTGGACTGGCACATTTCTTGAATGTCTTCCCGTGTGGCAATGCCAGTGGGTGATATTTAGGGTTAGGACTGGGAGTGGTTGACATTTGGCGGCTTAAAGTGTAGAAGTTAACTGGCGCACAACGGGAGGCTTGTGTGGTATAATACGTCCGAGAGAAGGGAAAAAAAGAAAGTTGAAAGTTAAAAGATTGGTTTTGTCATCAACGGACCTTTTTGGTTGTTCCATGAAAACTCATTTAAATGAAAGAGGTTTGGGTTTCTCTGTTTGTGTGTGCGTGTGGGGGGGGGGACATTCTTGTGGCTTTTCTTCACAGGGGTTACATCAGCAATATGCTCAGTGTTATTTCACAGAACTAATTCATCACACTGGTATGACATCTATAATTCTTGATAAGCTTCAAACTCTTCCCAGAAAATATTCAGACCAAAAATTTCAGCTATGAGCAAATTTCACACGGAAGACTTAAACCCACAAATTCTAGAATTCCAGGACCAACTGTGCCATCATGTCACTGAGATTAGGTGCATATCCCACAGGCAGCCTTTGACAGAAAGGGCAATGATAAAGAAGTCTTGTTGGGGGTTTGTATGTGACCTTCTTGTCTTGTATCCCTCACCACACTAGTTTGTCACAACACAGTAAACATATAACCCTCCCTGGAGCCAGCCACCTGGTAGACATATTGACAAGTGGGCCTACATATAGCAAGTTACAGGCCCATACTTATCACTATCCCTGGAGCTAAGAAATTATGATACTTGTGCAATGAAGATATTTGTAACACTGATTTTCATTTCTGAGTTTTGAGATATTAGTAGTGCATTAGTGAATTGAAATTTGGTTGTAATAATGACAATAACATAGATACTTTTAATGTACCTAATATAAAGGTAAAATAGGCCCCAAAATTAGTAAATGAGGGCCAGTATAAAGGTTGACGCCAAAGCCACATCTCAAGTTGAGCATGTGTACAACCCAGCAGATACATGTGGAACATAGAACGCCCCTATGCTTCACATCATTCAAGAGTAGTGTTTTGATAAATAATGAAATGCCTTCCTTTATCCTTGATGAAGATTTCACAAATGCTGAACGCCACTCAGTACCAATTTAGCGACCTGAATCTGCGTACACATGCTGAAGCACCCTCCAACCCATTTTACACCCAACTGGCGATTCAAGCAGCACAGTCACTTTAACACTGTTTAATACTCTTGGGAGCAAATGCGGAGAGGGAATATTTAAAATTTGATTTCCATCCAATTCTGTCTGAATCACACATAGTAGGTCAAGGTAATCCATCCCCAGGGGTTGAATATTACAGGTCACCACGGCGATGACGGATGGCATTTACGAGATAAACTATCCAAGGCATTTTTTTTCTCTCCCTCGTCTCCTGTAGATTCCTTTCAGCTCTTGGTATGTACATGTATGTGCAGGTCTAACATCTGTTCGCTGGAATGGTTGGCAGACTGTGTGGCAATCATAAATTTCTCACCACGTTTGCAATTTGAATGGGGGGACAGATGCTGAAAATGGCTATGAAATTGGGTACTAACTAGAAGTTTTGATCCCATCAATCACAAAAAAACTGATAGAAAGTAGGTTTGCAGTAGCACCATGGACGTATCTCTTTTGTGAGTATTTGCGGTTCTGAAAAGAACCAAAAATAAACTGGTTGAAGGATCTGCTCCTTGCACTCAAATTTTAGCCTTTTTCTACAGAAAAAAAATTCAAAGGGCATTTTGGGAGGGGGGGGGAAATTTCAACATCATTTTCCCGGTCAATTAAACGTGTTTACATCACTGGCTGTAACTCTTTGCGATGAGATGGGAAAATTGATCAGAGCTTTTTCAGATCGAAAAAGAACTATTACAAGATCAACACAATGTAGGCTGTAACCAGCTAAGTGGTGGAGATGAACTCCCTAGTCTTTGGCGGAACTTCATAGCCCCAAGGGGAATGATGGGGGCCTTCTGAAGTGTCTCTTTGCCCCTTTTTTCCCCCAGACATACTGACAAATATTATTATCTCCCACACCTAACCCCCAGAAACACTCAAATTTCCTTGGAATTCTCCTGGGTGGTATGGGCATCCGGGCGACCTCCGACCTCTGTGGAGGAAGGGGGAAGGGGGAACCAGAGGGGCCAACATGTCACAAACTATCAGACCAAATTAACACCTTAATGGTTCCAATTCCTGCTTTTTGCCCTAGGCCAGACTTGTCTGAAACAGTGACTTGTTTTAAGATTAGACTAGAACTAAGACTAAAAAGAATCCACTAGGTGGTCATTCTGTACACATGCTACTTGAAAATGTGTTCAATTTTTTTCTGAAACGTTTAACCAAAAAGTTCAGAGTTAGAGCAAATGGCTTTCAAACTTTGTGAAGGGACATTGTAAATTGTAAAATGTACTCCCTTTGAACCTACAATACCCACATCACCGTGACCCTCACTTATAACTTTTGTAGCTATTAACAGCCTGGAAGACTTCTTGAAAAGTTTAAGAGGTCCTTGTTGTCAAACCCCAAAGCACTCCAGACACCAAACATCCCTTAGCTAAACAAACACAACTTGAGAGGGGAAGAGGTCCTGGAAAGTTGAAGAAGGTCAAACAGGACTTGATCCACTCCTGCAATAAACAATCATTCAAGGAGGTCCAAGCTCCCTTGTTGAGGTGAGGAGAGAGGAGGGGGGGTGGGCAGCAGAGGCAGGCACTGCACTGTTCCAGCTGAACAAGAAGACTGATCACAGAAATCATGGAGCTCCATGCAGAAATTGACAGGTGCAAAAAGTGAACCTGCTACCTGTCTGATCAATGCTCTATCAACACAGCTTTCAAGCCCCATGCTGGTAGCCTATGTTTTATCTTTTTAAGATGAGAAGAGAAGATAGAACCATAAATCATTGTACACATGTGGTCTTTAATCCTGCTTGGCCCAAGCAATACAGAAATACTGTCAAAAGGTTGACAGGGTATTCCCTCCCTCCCTTACTGAATTTTAGAAGAAATATTAACCCTAACCTTGTGACTAACACTTTGCCCTTTTTTCAATATTGTATAGCATACAGTATCTAAACTAATAGGATATCTTCTACAACATTTTCCAGAATTTCTAACCCTTTCAAAGAGTCAGCTCCTTAAGAAGTCCTTTTTTGTTCTTCCACACAGAAGACCTGTCTCTGTACAATAAGCAGGGCAAGAAATAAACAGGAACCCTTACTGAATGCTGAATCTTCACCACAGATGAAATCCCTTCTACCCCTTTAACCCCTTTAACCTGGAGGCAATACACCAAGGGCAGCTCTAGGAATCACCTGTACTTCAGCTCTCATCAGCTGTCCCAACAAACACTAGTCACACTCCACCAAAAGCTCTAGAACTTAAAAGACACCTTTAAGTTTAAGTGTGAACTGTGGTTGGAGTGGGCTTTCAGAAAAAAAAGATAGAACTCTCTATGGACCTAGGAATTGCTTGAGGCAAAAACCACAACAAGCTCCCAGAGGATGGGCCTGGTTGCAGAAAGGCTGTACTTGATCAGGTGTTACAAGTCATGTTCTATCTCTTCAGAGCCATCCAGAGAGTACACAGAGCACAAATACAGCCCTTGAAAAAAATGATTTATTGCCTAAGGTAAAGGTCATTTCAAAAGTGCTTGGATGGGTGTAGCCCAATAAGAAAATTCCCAATTGTTCTTACACATTGGTCGTAAATCATATCGGTGATGCTTGATTCAATTAATGATGGGCAGTAGAGTCTTTCTACTGACTTTGAATTTGAAGTGGACAAAAGTAGGAAATGAGTTACAATTTGAAAACAAAGACAACAAATTAGAAGCTTTAATAATGAGGTACTGCTAACAGACTTCAGAAAGCAACAAATTGTAAATTGTAAATTGTAGGTTTGACTAAACTGGTCACTTACAAAATTCACTTTTTCAAACAAGCCACAGAAATCTGCAAAGGCATTCGGTTTCTGAGAAAACAATGAATCAGCTGCAATAGCAAAGCAAAACTACTGTCCAATTTTATTTCCAATATAAAAAGTTTAACTTGAAACTGCCACCCCGCCACCTG